CCTAAACCCTAAACCCCAAACCCTGAACCCTCAACCCTAAACCATACACCCTCAACCATACACCCTAAATCATACACCCTAAACCCTAAACCCTAAACCCTCAGCCCCAAACCCCAAACCTTAAACCCTACCGCTGAAGCTACTAGTCCCTGAAACCTTAATCCCCAATCCCTAGACCGGTAAACCCTAAATCCCCGATCCCTACAGCCTCAAGCAGGTCCTCACCCCCCTTGGGACCACCGTAGGGCCCTGCGGTACAGGGGTTACTCGGAAGTAAGGGCACGCACCGTCCCCAGGGTGGTCCTGTGCTACTAGGACTAGCCCTACTGTACAACCCTAGGGCGGTGCATGTCCTTATTTGCGAGTACTTATTTGTGAGTAACCCCTATACACTTTACTGACCCGCGCAGGGTTTGACCCAGCCCAGTAACTAAACCGGGAAGGGTTCGTTCCATGCAATTGGGTGGTTAGTGGTTGCAGAGGCCTCTCACCAGGGGATTCGGGTACCTTAACTTTAAACCCTACACCCTAAACCTTAAACCCTAAACCCTAAACCGGTGCCCTGCCGCGCAAGCTGCACAGTTGAGTCACGAGGCGTGGGACTTGGGTCGGGAGGTATTGCGCGCAGTGTATCTTTTGACTGCTTCGATCGATGTTTTAAACCCTAAACCCCAAACCCCAGAACCAATAAACTCCAAACGCTAAACTTTTAACACTAAACACTAAATACTAAACCCTAAACCCTAAACCCCAAACCCTGTACCCGAAACCCTAACCCCGAAACCCCAAACCCCAAACCCTAAACTCGCCCATCAACGAAACCCCAAACCCCAAACCCCAAACCCCAAACCCAAACCCACGCCCCAGACCCCAAACCGTACACCCTCAACCCCTAAACCCTAAACCCTAAACCCTAAACCCTGAACCCTAAACCCTAAACCCTAAACCCCAAACCCTGAATCCTGAACCCTAAACCCTGAACCCTAAACCCTAAACCCTGAACCCTAAAGCGACGGATAGGAAGCAGTCGATCGTTGCAAACTCCTGGCTGCTAAGTGCCGAGGGTGTCTCTCTGTGTGAGAGACAAGGTGCCTCTCCCTGAGAGACACAGAGAGAAAAACTCGGGGAGACATCCGCAGTTTGCGGGCCAGCGACAAGGCCTCATCGGGCCTTATCTTAAACCCTCAACCATACACCCATGACCATGAACCATAAACTGTACACCCTTAACCCTGAACCCTCAACCCTAAAGCCTAAACCCTAAACTCTAAACCCTAAACCTTGAACCCTAAACCCTAAACCCTAAACCCTAAACCCTAAACCCTAAATTCTAAACCCTAGAACCCTAAACTCTAAACCCAAAACCAGGTAAACCCAAACCCTAAACCCGACACCCGAAACACGAAGCCTGAAACCCGAAACCCTAGGGCACAGCATAGTGGCAGAGGGGGCTGACTCCATGCTGTGGCAGTGGGGAGCAGGAGGTGGAGTTAGAATCCATCCGGAAAATGCTCGTATGAGCGGCCGACACGGGGTACAGAAAGTGACACAATGCGTAGCATGTGCGACACTGACTCTGATTCTTTGGCAATGAATTATCAATCTCTCTGGCGGTGGGGACTGGCAAGCTTCATGTCGAGCACTGCAGGAGCAGGAGTTACTCGAAATTAAGGACACGCTCCTCCCTAGGGTCCTACGTCAGGGCTAGTCCTAGGAGCATAGGACCGCCCTCCAAATTTAAGGCACGCACTAGGGACGGTGTGTGCCTGAAATTCGGAGTAACCCCTGTACTCTCTCTCGTCGTCCCTGCTCAGACATAGTCTATGTGGGGGTACAAGGCGGCCGTGTTGGTAGTACAAGGATACCTCGCTCATAAGAAAGCGCACCCCCCTAGGGACCACCATAGGGCCCTAGGCATAGCCCTACTGTAGGTTCCTAGGGAGAGGCGCTTTCTTATGCCCTTGAGAAGTCGAAGTTCCCCGTAGAGAGTAAACAGCTTTCACACGACGAGAGAGAGAGAGAGAGAGAGAGAGAGAGAGAGAGAGAGAAAGAAGAGTGTATTCAGTACGGATCGAAACCAACATGGCCACCATGTACAAATGAAGGGACGAGGATGCTACATGCTTCGGGATGGTGCCTGTCCTGTACAGCGAAAGCTCTGACGCACTTTGATTCGTTTTACATTTAAGTATGGGACCAGACTCTTTCCTCCGTGGGGGTGCATACATGGCGTCAAGACACTCACGCCATAAGTTGACGGTGGTGACTTTAAAAGTGGCCGTGTTGGCGGCGCGGGAAGCTCAGGTTGGGACACACCAATGGCTCCAATTCTTTGGGTCCTGCAAAAAGGTGAGAGGTGAGAGACCTTGGGACACACCACTTGTCAGTTGTCACACCGTGTACCCTCGCGCTCTACAGGGGTACCTCGCTCGTAAGAACCCCCCCCCCCCTAGGGCCCTACAGTAGGCCTATGCCTAGGGCCCTACGGTGGTCCTGGGGG